TGCAGCAGGAACACGACACCTGTGGTATCATATCGTGTTATCCTGACAGGTTGTGCTGTTATCCYACAGAGCCCATCACATTTGGGGTTTTCTCTGCATGGAAAAGCTGAGTTTCAGTCACTCGTGGAGAGAGCTGATCTGTGTGTTTGGCCACATCTCTCAGACCCAGCCCTGAGCATCCATGCCCTGGGGACTCAACCAACCTCCCTGTGCAGCTGCAGCCTGGCACCCCTGAGGAGCGATGGACTGGAATAAGTTGTGCTTTTTCCCYTTCCTTTCTTTGGGAGTCGTGGCTGGTTGGCACAGCTTTGTCTYGCTGTGGAGCTGGGGGTGTGGGAAGGGAGGAGGAGGGGAGGMAAGCCCGGGGCCGGTCCTGGCACAGCCCCATTTCTCATAATCACTGACCTGCCGTGCTGGGCAGTGGCTTGAATTTCCCATGGGTGGTGTTGGCTGCTACCTCGTGAAGCTGGGCATGGCAAACGGTGCCAAAGAATCACATCAGGCTGATATCCAACACCAGCCAAAGGAGGGGAAAGATCCTGCGTTTCCCAGGCAGCCAAGGGACCATCGTTCCCCCAAAAGCACAAGGATGGGGCTTGGTTTGCCCACATGCACATCTCCAGTGTGGTGACCCCCACCTGARCCTGTCCTGCAGAGCAGGGGATGGGCCAGTTTGAGTGATATCCCATCAAAATGATGCTCCAAGAGCTTGTGGTCTTGACAAATACCTGGCTCCAGCCATGCACCCTGAGCATCCAAACCTACTGAGATGCCTCTGCTGGTGCTGTGTTTAGAGGTTACTGAGTCAACCTGGCCCCAGAGAGAAACCAGCATGGAATTGGTTGGTAACATCAGCTGGTCCTGGTTTTCCCAGGCTTTTGAGGGATCTCCCCCACCCCTTGGAGCAGTGCCTTTTGCATCAAAGGGGTCTGCCAAGTCTTGCTGGGGGTGGTGGGATGGGGCTGGTGCTTGCAAGGTGAGCATCCCCTGCCTCTCGAGGAGCTTCAGGCTGTGGTMTCAACACTGAAAGCATTTCCTTTTTTCCCTTCTCACTGCTTCATCCCACGCGGGCTGTGGGGGAAGCAGAGCTCTTGGAAAGCGTCTTGGAGGGGGTGGGAGCAGGCGAGGGCTGCTCATGTTTTCATGGCAAAGCAATGGGGGAAGAGATCTTCCCAATGTTGTTGCTGTGTCCAGGCTGTCTGCCTGGCATTCCTTTCCCTGTGTTTGCAGTCAGAGCACCCCAACATTTCCTATTTTTCCTATTTATGCTGGTTCTCTTCTCCCTGTCTTGGCAGAGATGCAGGCCAAGATAATTACAGGGAGAAACAAGGAAGGTCTTCCCAGCTGCCTGTCCCCAAATTCAGAGGATTTGGGTTTGAGCAAGTGTACAGTTCAGATCTCCATCCCCTTGTGCTGGGGAGCAGGTGGAAGGCCTGCTTTGCAGACAAAGAGTTGAGGAAAATCCTGGACCGTGCACCTACAGAGACCCCCTCAGAGCCCTCAGACACATTAATGTGGATTTTCCTGGCTGCTCCTCCTCGTGTCACCCCATGCAGGACACGCCAAGCAAACACAGCAGGATTTTGAGCCTTTTACACGAACCAACCAAAGGAACTGCTATCAGTTGGSTGGGATGATTCAGTGCCCTGCAGCTCCCAGCAAACCCCTCTGCTGCTCCAGAGATGCTGAAGCTGGCCAGACACAGCAGCTCCCTGCTTAATCAAGTTTCCTTCTAACCACAGCTCTGCACAGCCAAAGTCTGGGCAGCATTCGGTGTCCCCGCAGGGAGATACTCAACCCCACACCAGCTATGTGGGCAGGAAGGACCAGACCATGTTTGAGTTAAAACTGGGCCAAAAAGGGGTCAAAGCTGGTGGTGAGGTGCAGGGAGGGTTTGGTTTCCAGGCCAGTGTAACCTGACCAATGACTCCAGTGATAAAGGTGCAGCCTGGTGTGATCTGTTGGTCTGGGAGGGAGATGGATATTGCTTGTCAGGGTGTGAGTGACAGGGAAAGCCTCACAGCAGCTGTGCTTTGAGACTCCATTTCCCCACGGTGGCAGTGATGGAGGAGCCTCCTGAACCCCCGAGCAGAGCAGAAACCGTGAGTTCCTCATTTATAACCACAGCAGCTCAAACAGCATTGCCTTCACCCTGCACCCACCAAGGAGACAGCCCTCCCTCTGCTTTCCTCCCCTCTGGCTGCACCTCCAGAGCTCAGCCAGGAGGGATTTGGAGACACCCTGGTGCCCCTCCAGCCCCGCATTTCCTCCTGGCAGCTCACAGAACGTTCCCACATTGATCACCGCGTCTCGTCTCTTTGTTCTCGCACAACAGGTCTTTCATCACCACACTGCGTTTTGTTTATTCCTTCTGGTGGGTGTATCCATGGCCAAGTTCCTCCTTTCTTGGTCCTTGCTCAAAA